TATATAGACTAGTTTCTGATTTCCAACTGAGTTCACAGAGCAGAATCTGGGCTTTCTAGTGGTTCTGGTCTTTTCAGTCGCACACAGCCAAAAACAGTCACACAGTGAGGTCAGGTGATAGTGGAACAGCGATCGACTCAGCCATTGTAACAGATCCCTCTGTTGATTTGATCTGAATGATTGTAGTGTTTAAAAAGACCCCAGAGTTTGAGCCATTCCTGGTGAAATTGTGCAAGCAGAGAAGTTCCACGAGAAAAGAAAGAAAAAAACACTTTCCACTCTGCTGGGATCGCTTGTTTGTGCCCTCTAGAGAAAGTCCGGAGAAAGAAAGGAGGATTGTCGTTCCATTTTCTCCTCTCGAGTGAGGGGGGGTGGTAGTGTCTGGTGGATTGTTTGCAAAAAACGATTGTGGCTATTCATAAGTGCAACAGAGATTAAACATATTAAAATAACGACGGGATAAAACCAAAGTAATGGAAGCAATAAAAACATCGAAAGCATCTAAAAGCTACATCCTATTGCACAATTAAAAATTATGATACAAAACAAATGGATACAGTCAAAGAGGACAAAAACTGGTATTGCATACAAATCAAGGAAATTAAAATAAAAAAGTTAAAGTAGTTTGTTCCGTCTTTTAAGACCGTCAATTCATTTACAGAGCCAACTCTCGGGTTGCTCGTTACAGCAAAAGTACGGGAGAGAGAATGCTCAACGTGATTGTGATTGTTTGTCATCGCCTTTTTTAAGTTTAAAGACCACTTCTTGTTGTGGTCGCAACAGACAGGATTTCTAAACACTGATTTTAATCGGTTCAAAGTGCACATAGAGAGAGAAAAAAAGGAAATCTGTTTAAAACATAGCTAGGCTCATGAGGATGAGACATGAAACAAACCGACAGAGATGGAGATTAATAAAAACACAAACAGAAGCGGATGAGAACGCTGCATAGCTGGATTCCATTTAAAGCAATGCCATCATTAGAAAGACACACAGGAGCGAGACAAACCTAATTACTGTACACGATCAGACTCGACTCTTCACAAGACACTCCATAGCTTCCTCTTGCTGATTCAGAGCCGACGGCTCAACAGAGGGAAACCAAATCGCTCTCTGTTTTTTCTTTTTTTTTTTCTTTCAGTATTGTCAGAGGGTCTGAGTTCACACATGCGTGTCGCTGGGCTCGCTGGCCAAGCTTCCTCCCCGCAGATAGATAGCCGAGCTGGACTTGGGCCGGTTCTGACTGTGGCCTTGACCGTGGGTGGACCCGTTGTTGTTGACCTCCGGCCCCCTGGTGTCTGTGGAGATGACCCACGTGGTGGGCCGCCACTTCTTCAGAGAATAAGGTGTTTTGACGCGCTTCTTAATCTTATCTCCTGTCCCCAAGGCTCCGCCTGGCTGTAACAAGCCTGCTTCTGGAAAACAGGAAGGAACAAAGATCAGTGACCTGTGGCCACTTTTCACACCAGGGTACATGAAACATAAAGTGATACCAGGCATGTAAGGACCAGAGAAGTGTCCCGAGCTGCTGTTAGACATGTGCTGAGGTCTGGAGGTGTGGGTGTGTGAAGTCACCTAGTGAGGCCAGGTCCTGTGTTGTGAAGGACAGGTCCAGGGAGTTGGGTCTCTCAGGCCTGCGGGCTCTGGGCTGCCTGAGCAGGGCCTCCCCTCTCATGATGACAGGTGCTTCCTCCACGGCAACAGACCCGGAACCCAAGCTCTCTCCTTGGGGCCCCGTGGTTTCCCTGCTTCCTCCTTCTCCGCTCCCGCCCTCCTCCCCTCCATCGCTCTCTCCTCCACTCTCACCTTCCCCCCGGCCCTGGCCAGTGTTGCTGTTGTTGTTGTTGGTGTTGGGCCTCGCAGAGCGGAGGGCGGCGACACTCGAGGACACGTCTCTCAGATCAGGCTGCTCTCGCTCTCGGCTCAGAAGTGGCTCGTGTTCGTCGGGGCTGGCTGTGATGACGCCGAGGCTCAGGCGACTGTCGTCCGACCTCAGGGCTCCGGTGCTGTTCTGAGTTACGCCGGATCCTCCAAAACCTGTCGCTCCTCCTGCAGCCATGGACGAGCTGGCATGACCATTTGCGGCGCCATTAACGCTACCGTTGACATGCGTGTCTCGTAGAGCGGGTATGTTGTTTGTGCCTGGGCCTCGATGAGCCTCTACGGTTGTGTTTGGGCCTGTTACTGCACCAATGTTCATCTTCGCTCCCTCCACCTGCCGCAAGTTGGACTTGCCGGAGCGTCCAAACTTGAACCTGAGTGAAGATGACGACGACTCCTTCTTAGTGGGCTTGGTGCGCAGGGGCAGACTGGACGGCCTCTTGGGCAGGTTCTGCTGTTTAGGCAGGGGGAAGATGGGGGTGGGCATGGGGGCAGCAGTGTCTGACGTGCCCGAGGCCTCAGTCGCCATCTTGATGAGAGGATAAAGTAGGCTGGAGCTCCCGGGGCTCAGTGGGTCCGGTGAGCAGAACTGCTTCTGCGAGTGCTCCATCAGATTCTCATCCGAGCTCTCCTTCAGGTTCTTGTCCACCTCTTTCGGGTCAAGCTTGGTGGTTTCCAGGTCTTCCTGTGTCAGGTGGAGGCAGACGGGGACTGTAGGGGCCCCTGCCGGTCCCTCGGTCTCAGAGATAATGGTGGTGGTTGTCGTGGAGGCTGAGGGGCTTCCTCTCAGACCCATGCTGGTGCTGCTGCCCTCTGGGCTGGGCAGACGGGCGTTGGCTTGCTGCTGGCGCTCCTGATTGATGGAGTTCCTGTTTCTCTCCCCGCTCCCGGCCACAGCTCGGCCACTCAAAGAGCTAGTGGTGTCAGTCTGCGTGTTCTTGGCCACACCCTCATGCTCTTCGATGTAGGTGGATGGATGGTCTGTGTACGGGCCGGACTTTGGCGTCATACGATTTCTGAAAATCAAACAAAAAACCATCAGAAACATCAAACTTTGGAATGATGGAACGTAGCAGCACAACATAAGCAGATGTGTGTTTACCTCTCATTGTGTAGAGTCGTGGACATGGGGTTGAGTGTGGGGCTGACAGACTTGGAGCGGTCCCATATGAGGAGCAGCTCTGCCAGTCGTTCCTCCGCACACTGTGCTGTGAGGCGGGCCTCTGCATCCTGGTCCCAACAGTCCTCCATCGTCTCTTTCAGAGAGCGGACCGCCTGACGAGAGACGCAGTGTTAAAGGACAATTCTGGTTTCTTTCAATCTAGTGAATTTAGTGTTTACCAGAAATGACTGCTATGCTAACTCAAGCTTCACAATCTTCGGACTGTTATCTTTGGGTATTACAATATGAAAAAATATTTCTGAGTCCTCTCTCTCTCTCTCCCTTTCTCAAACTCACTCACACACACACACCCACACAAATTTACCAAACTGTTTTCTTTCCAGGCCTCAGGGAATTTGGGCCGTTGCTTCTCTCTGGACACCAGGACCTGCATGTCCTCAAATGTTGGGTGGTTCCCTGCCTCTGCCTGAAAAGCCATCTGGTACTCTGGCACAGACTCTCCTAGAGGCAGAGCAGGACGGGGAGAGGAGAGGAAGGATGTGTCTTAGATAGATGGTCGTAAAAATGTTAGGCATGTGTGTTACAGGGGACAAAATCTACTTCAAACAGGTTTTGTCAGTCGTTCTCACCGGGGAAAAGGTCAGTGCATCTCATGAAGGTCTCCCAGTAGACCAGGCCCAGGGCGTACATATCCACCTGCTTCAACGCCGACTCACAGTCCCGCAGGTTCACCGCCCCCTCCAGCACCTCCGGAGCCATATAGCGGATTGTCCCTACCTGGTGGCAGGGAGAAGAAATGGAGGTGTTAGACACTGCAATCCCAAAACAAGCTGTCCTCCTGCGGTATCTTTTTTTGGGGAGGACGAGTGGACAGACAGGGTTCTCTGGGATAACAACACAACACTGGTTTGCACTTGAATATCTAACAGCAGTTGGACACTCACCTCACTTATAGCAGTGTTTTCCTCCTCACCGTGACGTGCCAGCCTGTTGCCAGTCAGCTTCATGGACAGGCCGAAATCGATGATGACACATGTGCCGTCAGCTTTCACCAGAATATTCCGGCTGTTCAGGTCCCTGTGGGATACCGCTGGCTTGTACAAGTCTTGATGGATAAAAAAAAACGAGAAGAGGCAATACGACATGATCAGGAGAAGACACAGGAGAAAAGAAGTTTATCTTAAATGAAACCTTTAAGTCTACATCACTACAAAATGGTCCCTACAGTGCATCCAGGCCTTGTTTGTGGTATTTGCTAATGAATGATAACATCCAGAGAATCCTTTCATATTGCTTTCCATTCTCCCTCATTACTCATTGTTCACCACAGCAAGCTGTGTTGTCAACAGACACTCTAAACCCACTAATCTAATCTGCAACAATGGGATTAAGACCATATCAGAGAGGCCTCCATCTGCAGTATCGTATCGTCCAGCAGAGGGTGCAGTAAAGCTGAGGGCGTCTGGAATTTGAGGCAGTTGCCACAGTTTTCTGCCACTGATGCGTGCGGGAAGAGTGGGGGAGGATGGCGGCTGTGCCAAAGCCCGAGAGATTGTGCTGTTAGAAGTGACACACAGGGCTAACAAACACCAGCTCCCTCTCTCTCCCTCCTCCGTCACTTCTAAACTCTGTCCCTCACTTTGCAGGAGAGAACGTCAGGAGCTGGAGACCCCTGCTTTTATTGGACACATACTTGCACAGACAGAATAATCCCTATTCCTTTAGCAGGCTATGTTTTAGACTCTTCTGAGCCGGTTTGATGTGTATCTGTCCTGATGAAGGGAAAGCAGGAGCAGGGCCGCGTGCAAGCGCTGAGGCTGAGCTCCGGTGATGTGAAAAGAAAACGAAGAGTCGAGGTTTGGCTCAGTTGTCACTTCTCCGTCCTAAAGCGCGTTTCACAGAGCCGCAGGAATATTCACATGCGATCTGAATCCCTATCTCGCCATCCTTCCCCCGACTTTGTCCCTCTCTGCGTTTTTCACTCTCTCTGAGCCTAGCTTGAGGCCAGTCTATAAATACTCATGGCTGGGCGTGGACGCACTGTGTGTGTGTGTGTGTTGAAATGCAGGGATGCGAGGTGCTCCAAGCCAAACAGACCCACGTGGAGCTACAGTGTGCAGCTCGTAAGAGGGTTCAGTGAGGCAGTGAGAGGAGATAGAGATTGAGTAATACACTCACACACTATTTAAAGCCTTTCT